GTATATCGTTCGAGATTGGAAATGGGTGAATATTTGGCAAATCAAGTTGTGAAAAAATGCGGCAAAAATTTTGATATTGATGTAGTCATTCCAGTGAGCAATTCAATTCGTCTTATTTTATTTAATAAATAATATTCGCAAGAATCATTAAAAAATACTTTAAATTTTAGGTCCCTGACACAAGTCGCGTGGCTGCTCTTCAAGTATCACACAAATTGAAAATTGCGTATCGTGAAGGATTCATAAAAAATCGCTATGTGGGCCGTACATTCATAATGCCTGGACAACAAATGCGTAGAAAGAGTGTTAGACGAAAATTGAATGCTATGGCTTTAGAGTTCGTTAATAAAAACGTTTTGATAGTTGATGGTACGTTAAAAATTTATGTTTACCTTTTAAATTGTTATTAATTCTTTTTTCTGTCATGATTATGTAGATTCAATCGTCAGAGGTACAACATCCATGGAGATTGTCCAGATGGCACGCGATGCCGGAGCAAAGAAAGTATACTTTGCTTCGTGTGCACCTCCGGTTAGGTGATTACTTGTCACTCTATAATTATTAATTTACTGGTAAGTATGTTAAACATGAGCTAATTTTATTGTTTCATATAGATACCCTAATGTATATGGTATAGATATGCCGTCTCGACGGGAGCTTGTGGCATTTGGTCGTGACGATGATTCAATTTCTAAAGAGATAGGTGCTGATATGGTAATATATCAGGTAATAGACTAATTCATGTAAATCATATTTTGTATTTAAGTTTCTCTTGGCATTTTTGTTAATATATTATTAATTCCTGTAGGGTCTTGATGACTTGGTTGCTTCTTGTCAAAAGTTCAACTCAAATATTACAACATTTGATTGTTCCGTGTTTGATGGTCGCTATGTTACTGGCGGAATTACAGATGAATATTTAGATCATTTAGAAAAGGTTCGCAGTGATTTGGCCAAGTCATCTAGGGAGAACCTTCAATCTCCAGAGACGATGGGATTACATAACTTTCGTGATACACCTTTACAAATATCAATAGAACGAAATGGCCGGAATGGTACTAACGGTAGTAACGGTACATATTAATTACATTAGTTATCTTTTATATTCTTTTTATTGTATAAATTTGTATGAGAAATTTAAACATGACGTATTGGCATAGCTTTTCATAGTATATTTTAAGTAAGCAATTAGTATTGTGATGTGCTAAAACCGGGTAGTGTTATATGGGCTTTGGTGCTGAGAAAAGGGACCAAATTGACAAAAAAAAAAAAAAGTTTTACGGAAAATTGATTTTTATGATTATTTATATACTGTATAGAAATTTATATAGTGATGGACACGTCCTTATATAAGATTCCATATTATAATTCCATAATAAATTATAATACAATTATATTATAAAATTTTATTAAGACAACAATATTTGCTCCTTAAGTAAAAATGTTCCTGAGATAATTTTGAACTAGTTAGGCTTAAAAAAAATGGTTTAAAAAAATTGTCCATATATTAATCACATGATTTGTAATTTATGTATGTATATCGATATTATATATAGTAATAAAAGGATTAAATTTTACACAAGACCACATAAATATGGAAGAAGCTTCACGTCAACGCAAAGAGCGTTTAGAAGCTACGCGCAAACGAAAGCTTGAAGCTTCAAAATCTGAAGAACAAACTGTTGATGACCAAGATTCTAATACTGTAAAGTACTTATAAACAAATAAATTATTTTAGCGAAAGGTTATCGCTTTGTCGCATACATGACTAACCCACGATCTTACCTTTAAAAGAAAACCCGTATTAAAATTTCGTAATTATACTCCAACAAACGAAGAAATAAAAGCTGCTGCCAAAGTTCATATAGCGACACCAAACGATTTAGATGAAACTTTAGAAAAACATGTGGATCAAATTACAAAAGAGGTGGAAGAAGCTGAAAAGGCAAAACGCGAGGAAGAAGTAGTATGTAATATATTGAGTTTATGAATCGTTATATACTTTGATATATAATTTAAATATGAACCATTTTTAGGATTTGTTTAATTTGGCACCAAAAAAACCAAATTGGGATCTTAAACGTGATGTAGAAAAAAAGTTAACAAAGCTTGAAAGAAAAACACAAGCTAGTATTGCCCGTTTAATAAGTAATGACTTCTTTTTTACTACTATAGAATTTAATCTTTTATAGTTTGTTAACAAAAAATTTTTTTTAAAAAAAAAAATAGAGGCAAGACTTCAAAATGAGTCGATTGAAAATACCTCGGTTGGTCTGGTTGACGCTGTTAATGCGCAACATAAAGCTGATTTAGATGATAATGACTCTGATTAATTATAAGCGAGAAAATATTTTATAATAATCAATTTATATACAATAAAATAGACAATTTATATATCGAACCGAATATGTTAGAGAACCTTACTATAATCTGGTTTTAGTTAAGGTATTTTATTCGGTGAAAATATCAGATATATATATTTCTAATTCTGTTGTTTAAAATAGGGAAATATACTAGCAGACCCGACAGGGATGAGAAATATCAGATTCCTTTTTTATTATGTTTATGCGTATAAAATTTATACATACGAAAAAAAAAAACTACG